CTGAATAAACCCATTTTGCTGGTAAAATCATTGACAGTTTTATTTTTAAGGTTAACACAAGCCAGAGCTTCTAGTAACTGTCTGTGAGTTACTGAACCCAGTAGAACAAAGAAGGTCCTCCACATATTGACTGAGCACTGAATTATAAGAGAAGCCCAGAGTCTTCAGATTTACACTTAACATTCACGCAAAACAAGTGGGGACTTTGGAAAAACCCTGGAGCACGATGGTCTAGGTACATTGTTGACTTTCGCATGTGAGGATGAATAGGAATTGGGGGTTAGATAAAGGGGGTCTGCTGAAGAAAGCAGAGCATAAATCAACCACGATGAAAGAAGTCACGTCAGAGGGTATAGAAGCAGAGATAGTGTTGGGGTTTGGGAAAAACAATATGCATTTTACAATTTCATTTATGGCTCACAATTCTTGGATAAATTGGTAACCCTTTCCATTAGGTTTCTTTACAGGTAGAATAGATGTGCAGCAGGGGCTAGATGTGGAGATAAGAAGCCCTTTGTCAAATAACGTATGAGTGATAGGTCTGAGACCACAAATCACCTCATTTTTATGGTACTGTATTGAGTTAATTTAGGGAGAGACATCGTGAGGTCTATATGCACCTTTAAAGGCTCTGCCTCTCAGAGATTTCCTACATCTGTCATTCCTTTAGCCTACAGTGAGTCAGGAATGTGAATGAGCATGTCCCAGATGTGGGGCTTATCAAGGGCTCCAGAAGCTCTGAGAGGTCAAGAAAACCTGGGTCATCTATCAAAACTGTCAGAGGACACAATGAATGGGGGAGGAGTCTAGAACTTCACAGGTTAGTCTCTTGGGTCACGTTAAATATTAACATTACAATTAGAAATCAAATCTCTGCCTAATAGCTTAAAAGAGGTTGTGGAGCTTAACCAAAAAAGCTGTGTTGGGCATCATGGGGTCTAAGAGACAAAGAAGGTTTTTTTTTTTTTTTTTTTTTTTTTAAGGTTTTATTCATTTGAGTGGGGGGAGAGCGAGCATGAGCAGGGGAGGGTGCAAGGGAGAGGAAGAAGCAGATTCCCTGATGAGCAGGGAGGCTGACATGGGGCTCCATCCCAGGACCCTGGGATCATGACCTGAGCTGAAGACAGATGCTTAACCGACTGAGCCACCCAGGTGCCCCAAGATTTCATTCTTTTTATGGCTGAATATTCTTCCATTGGGTATATATAGCACATCTTCTTTATCCATCCATCGATTGATGGGCACTTGGGTTGCTTCCATAACTGGCTATTGTAAATAGTGTTGCTATAAACAAAGGGGTGCCTGTAGCCTTTCAAATTAGTGTTTTTGTATTCTATGGGTAAATACCCAGTAGTGGGATTCCTGGATCATATGGTTAATTCTATTTTTAACTTTTTGAGGAACCTCCGTATTTTTTTCCAGAGTGACTGCACCCATTTGCATTCCCACTAGCAGTGCATGAGGGTTCCTTTTTCTCCACATCCTTGCCAACACCTGTTTTTTCTTGTGTTTTTGATATTAGCCATTCTGACAGGTGTGAGGTGGCATCTCACTGTGGTTTTGATTTGCATTTCCCAGATGATGAGTGATGTTGAGCATCTTTTCACGTCTCTGTTGGCCATCTGTATGTCTTCTTTGGACAAATGTCTGTTCATGTCTTCTAGTGCCTCTTCATTATTGATTGTTTTCAAAGTATTACTACTTCCTTCTCAGTTATTCTTTTTTTTAAATATTTTTTTTATTCTTATGTTAATCCCCATACATTACATCATTAGTTTTAGATGAAGTGTTCCATGATTCATTGTTTGTGCATAACACCCAGTGCTCCATGCAGAATGTGCCCTCCTCAATACCCATCACCAGGCTAACCCATCCTCCCACCCATCTCCCCTCTAGAACCCTCAGTTTGTTTTTCAGAGTCCATCGTCTCTCATGGTTCGTCTACCCCTCCGACTTCCCCTGCTTCATTCTTCCCCTCCTGCTACCTTCTTCTTCTTTTTTTTCTTAACATATATTGCATTATTTGTTTCAGAGGTACAGATCTGAGATTCAACAGTCTTGCACAATTCACAGCGCTTACCAGAGCACATACCCTCCCCAGTGTCTATCACCCAGTCACCCCATCCCTCCCACCCCACCCCCCACTCCAGCAACCCTCAGTTTGTTTCCTGTGATTAAGAATTCCTCATATCAGTGAGATCATATGATACATGTCTTTCTCTGTTTGACTTATTTCGCTCAACATAATACCCTCCAGTTCTATCCACGTCATTGCAAATGGCAAGATTTCATTCCTTTTCATGGCTGCATAATATTCCATTGTATATATACACCACATCTTCTTTATCCATTTATCTGTCGATGGACATCTTGGCTCTTTCCACAGTTTGGCTATTGTGGACATTGCTGCTATAAACATCGGGGTGCACATACCCTTTTGGATCCCTACTTTTGTATCTTTGGGGTAAATACCCAGTAGTGCAATTGCTGGATCATATGGTAGCTCTATTTTCAACTTTTTGAGGAACCTCCATACTGTTTTCCGGAGTGGCTGCACCAGCTTGCATTCCCACCAACAGTGTAGGAGGGTTCCCCTTTCTCCACATGCCCGCCAACATCTGTTGTTTCCTGACTTGTTAATTTTACCCATTCTGACTGGTGTGAGGTGGTATCTCATTGAGGTTTTGATTTGGATTTCCCTGATGCCGAGTGATATTGAGCACTTTTTCATGTGTCTATTGGCCTCCTTCTCAGTTATTCTTTCCATTAAAATTTAGAAATCCCCTTTCAAGTAATCAAAAAATAATTCCCTAGCACATTTCTTTTTTTTTTTTTTAAGATTTTATTTATTTGACAGAGACACACAGAGAGAGGGAACACAAGCAGGGGGAGTGGGAGAGGGAGAAGCAGGCTTCCCGCCGAGCAGGGAGCCCAATGCGGGGCTCGATCCCAGGACCCCGGGATCATGACCTGAGCCGAAGGCAGACGCTTAACTGACTGAGCCACCCAGGCGCCCCTCCCCAGCACATTTCATGCAACTTGATGGTCAAGGTGGTTGGGCCTGATGCCTTATTGTCTGTGGTGTGGAAATAGTACCTCTTAGATTACTTTTAAGATTTCTTTGGGGGTTTATATCTCTTTTTAGGTTTCCTCTTTTTTCAGCCTGTCTTTGCAAATTATAGTTCCAAGATTAATGTTTGTCATTTAAATTTTTAATTAATTAGTGTATTTTTGTACGTCTTTAAGTAAATTTGTTTTAATGCCATCTCAGGAGATGAAGGGCAGTGATATTCACATCTGTGTGTCTGGGCTTAGGCACAGGTTTGATTCCTGGCTCAGCTGCTGTGAACTTTAAGAAGAAAATGTTTGTAAAGCCATCAAGTTACTAGTAATCAAGTTGTCCGTTTTATGCTAGGAGTGTTTCTGATGTTGTTGCTTTCAAAATACACAAGTTCTTACCAACAATGATGGTAGTATCAGTTCTTGCTCCACACATATGACAGGTACCCGAGACTTGAACCCCAAACTACATGCCAGCATCGCGTGGCTTCTCACTGTCCTCTCCAAAAGCTTGGCCAAGCCACCCCCTGCTCATCGGGACCACTCTTCAGGGTTCTAGGCCCTGAGGATTAAATAGAATCACCACGCTATTCACCAACATTCTGTATCTTACTCTTCCCTCTCATATAACTCAACTATAGCCCCTTCATACCCCCGAGTCAACCAGCTTTTTTCTTATAACCCCTGGATTTTCAAATCTCTGAGATGCCTTTGCCTTAACATGAGACCGTGCAAAGTTGGGGATTTGATCTGTGTTATAATCCAGCCATCCACAGGATTAGACTTTGGGTTTAGTTTTCAGAAATCTCAACTCAGTGACGGAGGGAGATAAGGGATCCTTTTAGGACAGTTGTAAAAGCTTTCTGTCCCTTACCTTGATTTTGAGCTGAGAATTGGAAGCTCTGAGCTCATCTTCTTTCTGTACTTCAAAGCAACCAACCAACCAACCAACCAACCTTTTAAATTTTCACTAAAATGATCTATGGCAGCAACTATGTGGTTGGTCATCTAGAACCTTACCTCAGAGACGCTTCAGTAGGTATCTTGATTGCAGGTGTCGTGTTGGGCCCAGCCTGTTGAAGGTAATGTTCTCAGCTAGGACCACCTGAGGCCCTCGCCAGGCCCATATTACTTGTAGGGAGCCCCAGACATTTCCCCCAGCAGGGCCAGTGTTGTGGCTGGACTGGATCTTGTTCTTGCTTTTATTTCAGGATGCACTTTGGGGAAAACCATCGGAGCATTTTGAAAAACAAGACTAATTACTCACAAGTCTCAGCATGCCGGGGCCGCAGAGCAAGGTCACAGACAGAGAGAGAGAACACAGACCTGGGGCTCTGCCTTTTTTAGGGTCTGAGGATGGGGTCTCTGGGGTTTCACAAGGTCACTCTATATTGGCTAATTTGAAGCATAAGAGTGGGAATCAGGGCACGGGAGACTGGGGGCAGGGTCACTCAAGAAGCGTCAGTTGTTGTTTTTTTTTAAAGATGTATTTATTTGAGAGGGAGAGAGAGAGAGCGCGCGCACGGGGGGAGGGACAGAGGGAGAGAATCTTCAAGCTGACTCTGCGCTGAGCAGGGAGCCCAACATGGGGCTCGATCTTGCGACCCTGAGATCATGACTTGAGCCAGAACCAAGAGTCGGATGCTCAACCGACTGAGCCACCCAGGCGCCCCAAGGAATGCCAGTTTTCATGGCCACCCAGTGTCTGCGGAAAGGAGAACTTCATGGGTGTGGGGGTGCCTAGTTCCTTACCTGCTTATTTTACTAGTAGCTATGTCATGCAGCTTTCAATATGTTTATCTGGCGTGGATGTCTTTTGAAATGGAGGCCTTGGCAATCAATGCTTAACGTCAGACATTACCCTACAACAGGCAATAATAACTTTAGTCACCGGTGTGCCATGGCCCGCCACAGACAACCATTGTCTCCTCCACCATCAGAAACAGGGGCGTGAATACAGTTGAACCTGGTCACATCAGAGAACCGGTCCGGATTCCTATCCTTCAGATTCTGTTCCCTGGAACCACGCACCATACCAGCGCTGTCTATCCGTCTGAATTCAGCCAGGGAAGCAGAACTGCTCTGAGGATGCTGGGGTAAGGGATTGCTTATAAGAATCAGACCTTGGGGCGCCTGGGGTGGGGCTCAGTCGGTTAAGGGTCAGGCTGTTGATTTCAGCCTAGGTCATGATCTCAGGGTCCTGGGATCGAGCCCCACATCAGGCTCTGCGCTCAGTGGGGACTCTGCTTGAGGATTCTCTCTCTCCCTCTGCCCCTCCCCCCGTTCACATGCTCTCTTTCCCAAATAAATAAATAAATCTTAAAAAAAAAAAAAAGAACCGGACCTTCTACAACTGCTTCCCTTCCGCCAACCAAATCTCATGCCAAGTGCTTTCCTGGCCAACTCTAACCCCAAAGCATGCAGGGCAAGGGCTTCTGAGGAAGCTAACTCTAGTGTAGTGGAATAAACCACCACAAGATCCATGCAGTGGATTTTTTAAAAAAGATTTTATTTATTTATTCATAAGAGACAGAGAGAGAGAGGCAAAGGGAGAAGCAGGCTCCCCACTGAGCAGGGAGCCCGATGCAAGGCTTGATCCCAGGACCCTGGGATCATGACCTGAGCCGAAGGCAGACGCTTAACCATCTGAGCCACCCAGGCGCCCCATGCAGTGGATTTTAAATGAGATGTTTACATGAATGAGTTGGAAAGGAATTAGGAGGATTTTTCAGGGAAATTGTGATTAGAATCCTGACACACATGTTTGATTGCTCACAAAGTATTTTAATGGACGTTCTAGAACTTGATCTTCGGCGCTGACCTTCGGAATGACGTCTATTTCATAGTCAAAGACACTAAGTGATAGATTAAGAGAGTGGCCTGATGGCACATGGTTAATAAGGCAGAATTGGTCCGAGGTCTAGCTTACCCGCTTCCAAACATTTATGCTCTGTTCTGGACACGGCAATAGAGAGCTCCTGGCCCCCCTTCTTGATCAGTGTAGATGAGTCTCTGAGAACCGTGTCCTCGTTCTCTCTTTTACAATCTCATCTCTCCCTCCCATCATTTTACACATGTGTCTTGATATTTCCTCCCTCCGTACTTAGTTTTTCATTCATTCTCCCGCAAAATGTCTAACTTATAAAATTCCCCCTTTTCTACAGAACCCCTCATGCCCTCTTGTCATACACCTTGCCAATCTCCTGACATCGTTCCCCAAACTTCTCTCTCTTACAGGTCTTCTTCCATGGGAACATGTAACTTTTTGTTACAGAAAAGCCTAAAGATTTGGGTTCTAATTCTGGATTTAACTTTCCCCCAGGCCACAACTTTTCCCTCTAAGCTTTAGGTTCCTCGTGTCTCAGATGTGGGTTGACTAGGATCCTGTGTGTGAGACCACTTTGTAAACTCTAAAGCACTAGAGAAATGCCATTAGTTGTTATCCTTTCTTATGGGATTCTCAAATGAAAAAGTTGATGCTGAAGGATCCACTGAATAAAAAATATTGCTTGAATTTATTGACAGGAGCAGCAGAGTCCTTGACTGGAATCAGCCTGGAGTGGACCCCGAGGAAGTTGTGCATACCAGAGGGGCAGGTACTGACAGCCGGCTGGGTGGAAAGTGGGTAAAAGGAAAACACTAGGGAATAATTCTCCCTGGCTGCCCTGGTTTGGGTTCCCTGTGTGGGATGGCTTCTATCCAGGCCTGGGTCTAGCCCTGGCGTGTATGGATCGTCCAGAGTGAATCAAGGCCAAGGTTTAATCCGGTATTGGCAAATGCTGAAGAATAAGGGGTTTTGAGTCTCCTAGGTCTGATTTGAATCCATGTAAACTGTGAAATGGCCAGGTCACCCAATTTCTCCGTCCTTCAGATTGCTAGCTACAACATAGGGGTGACAGGAAGGTGGAAGGTAATTTACAGCATTTGTGAAAACCTATACTTAGATATAAAAGGTTTTGCTCATGATGGGTGCTCAATGAATTCTGCTTGCAGGAAGAAATATTTCATAATATTAGTTCCCTCAGCACAAGGAACATAGCTTACTCATTGACGCAACCCCAGATCTTGCTCAATGCCAAGACACACTATGGCCACAAGAAAAATCTTCCGAATGAATAAATAAATGGATGATACAGTAAATAAAGAGGTCATGAGCCTAAAAGTGATAGCAGGGGGAGCCAAAAGCGAAAATGTCATCTGGCCTTGGGTGTGCAGTTGGTGAGGTTGTGATGTCCTGCCTTCTCTGAACCATAAGTTGTCGTGGAAAACAGTGCACGTATGTAGAAGACCATTGGCATTTTCTCTCAAGATGAGGGCACTTGCTTGAGTGGGTTTTTTATGTCTAAGAGACCTTAGATTTACCTTTTCTATGAACTATCTCATCATCGTCTTTGCCCATTTTTAAACTAGATTGTTGTTTTTCTTATTGATTTTGAGGAGTTCTTTATATATGTGGAAAATTAACCCTTTGTTATATGAAGAGCGATTATTTTTAGCATTCTATTTGTGTTTTATTTATGGCTTTATGTTCCTGACATCATACGTAGAAAGACCACCCCAAAGCTGAGATTAATCTTTCAAAATACTTTTCCATGCTAACTTACGTATTGCATGGATTCCCGTGCCTTATGTTGAAGCCTCTGCATCATTCGGAATGGGTCCTGATTTGAGAGGATGGCTCCCTATGTCCTACCCTCCTCTGGAGCGCCACTTTCTAAGATGGGCCTGACACCTAGTAGCTACTCAGTGAATATTTGTGGAATGGATGCATAGATTAACACACAGTTCTGCCAATACATCCTCTCCCAAAACCGTTATTTTCTGTTGCCCATGCTGCTTTACTGCATTTCAGGGGCCTCCGTACTACATACTCCAACATGGCGGCTTGTGTCATCCAAGCGTGCAAGCCAGGAATTGAAAGAGACTGCTATTAAGACAGAAGTCACAGTCTTTTGTAACCTAATCATGGAAGTGACATCCCTTCACATTTGCCACATTCCATTGGTTAGAAGCAAGACACGAAGTCAGGCCCACACTCAAAAGAAGGAACTCACACAAGGGCGTGCCTCCCATTTTTCTTATTTCTCACAGGAAAACTCACTCAGAGCATGTCCCCATAGAGCAAGGTGCATGGACGTTTCTCCAAGAAGGAGACTGTCTGCAGTCTCTCCCCAGGGTGAGAGGCCACTCGGCTCTGATCGCACTGTCTGCCGTCTCCAGGGTGGTTACCTAACTAGCCTTGCTAAATCTTTCTTCGTAACGTGGGGTGGTAACTCAGTATGCCTGGCCCCAGAATCTAGAAAACATCTTCTTTGGCTCTGAAAACCATGGAAGATGTGAACCCAAAAGTCCTGGGAAACAGGTCTGTTTTTCTGGGTGTGTGGTGTTTGGTTCTGGTTTACAGAATGTGAATTTAAAACGTAATGTGTGAAGACAAAAGGAAAGGTCAGGGGTTTGAAGGCAATCTTTGTGGGGAAAACAACTTCTGTTCTCCCACGATATATTGGGTGGATGTGGGTGTGGAGAGGCCAGGCAGAGATACCCCAGTGGCCCCAGCTGCCATTCATCTGCCTTAAAATGTTCTTCTTCCGACGAAACTCAGCCCAGAAATCCTCTTCTGCTCCTGCTGCCCTCTGGATGCTCCAATCAATCAACTGCACTGGGCAAGACTTCTCAGATGCCAACGCTGAGGAGCGTTAAGTGGCTTCTGATCTGAGGTCCAGCACTGCCAGAGAAGGAGAGGCCGGAGCTCAAATGAAAGTAAGCCCTTGGCTCGGAGGAAATGATTCTTCCTGCCACAGGAAGAGCCAGTACATCCTGAGGAAGCCACATGTTTTGCAGAGTCTGAGCTCAGCCTGGCCCAGCGGGGGAGAGCATGAATTTGCAATATTCAGGGATGGAGCGTGTGTCTGAGGCTTTTACCTGAATCCAACCCAGGCTCCAGGGGAGAAGATTCATAGGGGTGATGAAGAGAGTCAGTGTTCCTGTCCACAGATAGAGACACACAGGAAAGAAGCCACATGGCCAGTGTGGAACTGAATACTCCCTTCAATTAGACGCAGGCCCGTGTGCTTGAGCAAGAGCCCTGGTATGTGTGGTCAGTGTGGGCACATGTTTAGGCTGAGAGTGACTGGGGATTCTGAAAAAGAGATGACAGGCAGGCAATGAGAGGAGGGGTGGGGTGTTAGTTGTCTACTGCTGCGTAACAAATTACCCCAAGACTTAGTGGCTAGAACAACACGTGTATTATCCCCCAGGTTCTGTGGGTCAGGAGTCCCGGCATGGTTTAGCTGGGTGCCCTGCCCTGGGTCCCTCCTGCGGCTGCAATGGAGATGCCAGCCAGGGCTGATGTCTCCTCTCTTGGCTCAACCAGGAAGGAGCCACTTTCTGGTTCATTCCTTTCTCCTGGGCTGTCGGACTGAGAGCTTCGGTTCTTCACTGGCTGTCGGCCAGAGGCTGCCTTCGGATCCTTCTCTCCAGTGTGGTAGCTGTATCATCAAAGTGTTTAAGCCAAGAAGGCACTTGAGAGAGTCTGCTAGCAAGACAGAAGTCGCAGTATCTGTAATCTAATCACGGGAGCGACATCACATCACCTTTGCCATGTTCTGTTCATTAGAAGCCAGTCACAAGGTCAGGTCCACCCTCAAGGAAGGAAATTACACCAACGACAGGTGGGGGTCGGCATTGCAGGCCCTCTTAGAAGTTGGCCTTCTGCAGGAGAGGATGAATCTGCAGGAAAATACCTATTCTTGAGAACTATTTAAGGAGACAAACTTTTCAATGAATTAAATGGCAAAGAAGAAAAGTTATAAAAATGCCAATCTTTCTAAAACACATTAGGGCCGATTTCCTGATAGTTTATAAGCACTGAACTTAATTTCGAATGAGATGGCCCTGTAAAAATAGTAAATAATGAAAAATAGGTAACTTGCCTGTAATTAATTGAAACCAGAGGTTCCTCACCGCCACCCCACACCTGGTCAAATTCAGAGTATTGTCCCTGGGGGAGAGCCTGAGAGTGTTCCAGTTACCTATGGCCCCATAACAATAAGCCAAAGTTTAGTGGCTTAAAACAACCTTTGTATTGCTTACAGATCTGCAGTTTGGACAGGGGGGTTGGCTCACATCGGCTGCGCTCAGCATCAGCTGGGGCGGCCTAAAGACACGGAGCTGGAACCTTCTCCAGGTTCTCTCACTCACATGTCTGCAATTGATGCTTCCTCCCAGCGGGGGCGCTGTGGCCAGGACACTTACTGGCGGCCCTTCTATGTGGCTGCTAGAGCTTCCTCACAGCGTGGTGCCTGGGCTCCAGGGATGAGCATCCTGAGAGAAACTGAGGCAGGGTGTACTGCCTTTTATGACTTAGCCTCAAAAGACTCCTAGTGTCATCCCCACCATAGTCCTGGGCCTGCTGGACTGGGGAGGGAATGTAGATCCCGCATCTTGATGGAGGAGTGTCTCCATCATAAGAAGATCATTTTGTAAGAAGGGCACGTAGGATGAGGTCCATCTTTGGAAAATACAATCTGCCACAGAGAGCAAACTAGCCCCCACGCCATCCTTGAGCTTTCATGTCAGTGACAACAGAGCTCATAAGGTGAACAGAAGTGTGTAGTCGTGAGAAATAAGACAGCAGGTGTAATGCTGATAAATAAGAAATACAATCAGGCACCTGGGTAGTGCGGTCAATTGAGTGTCCGGCTCTTGGTTTTGGCTCTGGTCTGATCTTAGGGTCATGGGATGGAGCCCCCCCATGCCGGGCCCCTCATTGGGCTCCACGCTGAGTGTGGAGTCTGCTTGGGTTTCTCTCTCCCTCTCCCTTTCCCTCTGCCCCTCCTCTCCTCTCTCTCTCAAATAAGTAAATAAAATCTTAAAAAAAAAAAATACAATCCTTTCTCCCTCTTCTCCCATTGAGTGGGAGACTGGGAATAGATCCATCAAAGACATTGTGCAGGGCCGCTGTGCCAAGCCTGTGGGCTTGAGAGTCTCACTTGGCCAATTATCGTAAAGCCTATAAAACTTCCTGTATTACTTTTCTATTTCTGCATAACCCAAATTACCACAAATTTACCAGCTTAACACCCATTTATTACTTCGCAGTTTTGTAGGTCAGGAGTCCAGACAGGTTTGCACGCAAGTTATTGCAACGCTGAAATGAAGACGTCAGTGGCCAGGCTCTGGGGAAGAATCTAGAAATACTCTAGACATTCAATCTATTGGAGGAGGCTTCCAACATCCGTTCTTCTCCGCTGGGTGCTGCCAGGGAGGTTTTGACCACCAGAGGGCGCAAGAACCACGAGCCCTGTCGCTTGAGTTCCAGCTCCCCTCGGCCACCGCGGTCCAGGTACCAGCAGCATCAGCGTCGCTTGGGAGCTTGTTAGGAAAGTGGAATCTCAGGCCCCCAAACCAGACCTGCTGAAATCGAAATCTGCGTTTTGTCCAGACCCCCAGGCAATGCGTGTGCACGTGAAAGTTCGATGGGCGCTACCTCTCGGTGGTTCACACTCTTGGCTGCATGTTAGAATCACTGGGGGGGGGGGGGGGGGTGCTGAAACCTCCTGATGCAAGAGCTCCCCTCCTCCCAGAGAGTCTGATTTTAACCACCCTGAGGCCAGAGTGTTAAAGGCTCCCCTGAGGATTTTCACGTGCATCCAAGCATGAGCTTCTCTGCAAGTCTAGCTCATTCCCGCCTGTAGAGACCCTTGCGTAGGACCAGAGCTGTGCCGGAAGTAGGGCTCACCGCCCGGGTGTAGCCACAGGCGAAGGACGCAAAGCCCCAGCCTCAGGGCTCTCCTGGGATGCAAGGCCAGACCTCTGGGCCCCCCCGGGTTATAGTGAAGTCGGGGCCAATGTGAAACACTGAGGAAGTGTTCTCATATTCGAAGTGCTTCTAAGACCCGATTCAAACAGCAACTCCTCAGACAGAAATTCTAGTTCCCCTGCCTCGTGCTTGGTGATAGTACTTCTTGGTCGGGGCTCCCTGATCATGATGCTGCCGCCTGGTTGCCACCTTGAAAGCAGGAAACGTGTTGAATCTCCCCTGCAGAGTGTCTGCTCAAGGAAGCACCATCCACAAGGCTAGTGACCCAGGCAGCCCCCCTGCTGGTGGTGGACCTGCCGCCCCCCTCCCCGCTGGTGGTGGAACCTGTGAGGGGGAGTTCAAGAAAGAAGGTACCTGGAGGATAGAGGAGCTCAGCCGTGTTAGGAGGGACTTTTATTATTTATTTATTTTATTATTTTATTTTATTTTATTTTTATTTTATTTTTTTAAGATTTTATTTATTTAGGGGCGCCTGGGTGGCTCAGTTGGTTAAGCGACTGCCTTCGGCTCAGGTCATGATCCTGGAGTCCCAGGATCAAGTCCTGCATCGGGCTCCCTGCTCGGCAGGGAGTCTGCTTCTCCCTCTCCCACTCCCCGTTTGTGTTCCCTCTCTCGCTGTGTCTTTCTCTGTCAAATAAATAAATAAAATCTTTTAAAAAAAAAGATTTTATTTATTTGAGAGAGAGAGAATGAGAGACAGAGAGCATGAGAGGGAGGAGGGTCAGAGGGAGAAGCAGACTCCCCGCCGAGCAGGGAGCCCGATGTGGGACTCGATCCCGGGACTCCAGGATCATGACCTGAGCCGAAGGCAGTCGCTTAACCAACTGAGCCACCCAGGTGCCCGGACTTTTTTTTTTTTTTTAATCTTTTTCTTTGGTGGGGCGCAGAGGAGGGGGGAGAGAGGAGAATCTTCAGCAGGCTCCACGCCCAGCTTAGAGTTGGAGGTGGGGCTTGGTCTCAGGACCCTGAGATCATGACCCCAGCTGAAATCAAGGATCGGTTGCCCAACCGACTGAGCCACCCAGGCACCCCTAGGAGGGACTTTTAAAAACCTTCTCCTTCCCCATTTAAGAGGCGTTTTGCAATCCCAATGCCCTTTTAGGTACACCATTTTCACTGTACCTAGACCCAGCCGCCTGAGCTGAGACTAGGTTAAGGACACAAATGTGGGAAACAGAGTGACAGAGGTGAGTGGGTAAGCTAAAGTTTGCCAGGATGAGTCAGGCAGAATTAGGACAAGAAATCACTTTATGAAATGTCCTCATTTGCTAAGTGCTATTTCCAGGATGTGGCAATATCTGACTTCTGACTGTTCTTTCCTCACTGTTCCAGAGCATTTCTGGGGACTTTAGCGTTGTCCTTCCTTCTCCATTCTCCTTCCCCAAATTAAGGGTTTGTTTTTTCATTCTAGAATTCTCAGTTAATCTCCTATTAAATGTCCACTGACTTCTATGATTTCTCATGTTCAATAGAAGGTTCACCAAGGATTCAGTAAATTCTCAATATATGCTAGCAATAGTAATGATTTCATTATAGCTTTCTTGAATGCAAGGAACTGATTTCCTGTTGTATCTCCAGGATTTTAACAAAATATTTGTGGGATGAATGAATCACGAATCAAGTGGAGGGATTTGCCAAGTTAAGGGCGGGGGGTGGGAAGCAGAGAGAGAAAAGCAATCCAGCCTTGGGCGTGCAAGTGCTGTGGTGGGCGCAGGCCAAGCTCTGACCCAGAGCCCTGAGAGATGGCATGTGTAGACATACTGTCAGCACCATGGAAGAGAGCTGGGTTCGTCTTCTCAAATAATGGCCAATGCTCTGCATCTTACTCCCTTTTCCTGTTCCTCTCTGTGGTGCAGAAAAAGGAAGTTAAAGTCTGGATGTATTTCCTGCTCACATGAAATGCTGTAAAGTTCTTTCTTTTTTTTTTTTTTAAGATTTTATTTATTTATTTGAGAGAGAGAGAGAAAGAGAGAGGGTGAACCTAAGCAGAGGGGAGGGGAGAGGGAAAGCGAGAATCTCAAGCAGACTCCTCGCTGAGCATGGAGCCCCATGTGGGGCTTGATATCATGACCCTGAGATCATGACCTGAGCTGAAACCAAGAATCTGATGACACTCAACCCACTGAGCCACCCAGGTGTCAGTGCTGTGAAGTTCTTTGAAGAGTTCAGGGAACCTCCAGATGTTGACTCTGTCAGTAGGGCCTTCCAGCTCTTTCTTCTGTCAAGTGCCTTACTCCTCTTGGGTAGAAATCCTTCTCCTTCCTGGGTCCCCAAACAACCCCCCGCCACCCAGATGTTTGAGGAGGGATGGAACGATGTGCTCTGCCTTCATCCCATGTTTCTGCTCTGAGGCTCCACCCCAGGTCCCTCTCCCTCAACCCACTACACTTGCCCTTCCCCCATTGCTTCCCTCCCACCATCTCCCACATCCCAGTGAAAGGAAAGAAAAACTTTGTTTCTCTATTCACGGATCACAGGAGGAAGCTTCCATGAGTGCATGGATGAAAAGACAGAGTATTATGACTAGAGAAGTTTAAAAATGCATAATAATATTTATGTACATTATTAATAGTTCCATCACATGGATTCCTAGAATTAAAATTATTGGCCTGAACAAATGCAGACCTTTTAAATTTTTATGTTGATCAAAGTTATACGTACACATAGTAGAAAAGATAAAATAATTCGGCATACAGTTGTCTTCTCCACCTCATGCCTTCTCATCCTTGATTTTACTCTCCAGAATCAACCACTCTCTTTTAGTGGACACTTCTGTTTTAATCTTCATGTTTACAAATAGAAAGTTTATACACAGTCTTCATTTTTTTAGCTGTATATATTATCCATTGACTTTTTACTGGATGATGATAAATTAGCTCTTACACATACAATTACATACTACACACATCCTTTCCCACACACCAATATCCTTCCCTTCCATCCAACCTCCCAAGGTTGTTATTTCATGATCTTTATGAAATCAACATTCAGTGATTCTATGATTATGATTAGAAAAATGTTAGTCAGAGCTGAGCTATGTAGTGTGCTGTGATTTACATCTTGTCCCCATGCAAGCTTTTTGTTTTTCTTCACAACTGGAGTTAACATTTGCCTTTCTTTTCCCCCCTTTGAATCATTTAACCTCCAACATCTCTGTTCTTCTGCTCCAATCTGGACTGGCTGCTCTTTCACAGGCTGCAGAATTCTTTCACTAGGACTTCCCTTCACCATCTTGTTAGGTTGATTCCCCCATTTTCTCCCTCCTGGTTTATTCCCTTGTTTTTTTTGGTGGAAATATCTTCTAGAAGCTTCTTGAGAAAGAGTACTTGGGAGGCAATTTTTTGAGACATCATATGTCTGAAAATGTCTAATCCCATTTCCTACTGATTGATAGTTTGGTGTTCTTCCAACTATAATCCTTCAACTGTAATTTTTTTTTTCTTTCTGGAAACTTTTAGAACTGATGTTCTGAAGTATTATTATTGTATCTTAACAGTTGTGCTCCACGCTCTGTAGGTCCTTCCAATTTTCAGTTGTGGGATTTTCCTTGTAATGTTTCTTTAATAATTTCTTTACTACTGTGTTTTCTGTTTTCTCTTCTTTTGGAATTTCTGGAATTATCCTCTAATTTTCTTATCTTTTCTCTTACTATCCATTATGTCTTGTATTCTACTTTCTAGGAGTTTTCCTTTTGGTTTAACACTTACAGTGTATATACCATCCATCAGTTAAAGGAGGTGCTTTTCTATTTCCATATTACTGTGAGTTTTTAATCATGAATCAATGTAGAATTTTTTGGAATGCTTTTTTTTTGCATCTTTTGATCTCTTAATATATTGAATTACATTTATCAATTTTCTTTGTTAAACCATCCTTGCATTCATAGCATAAACCCAACTGCAGGATTCAGTCTGCTAATATTTTGTTTGGGATTTTTTGCATCTATGCTTATGAGTATAATTTTCCTTTCTCATAATGAGATTGCATATTTTAGTATCAAGGTAATGCTAGCCTTATAAAATGAGTTGGGAGAGGGGTGCCTGGGTGGCTCAGTCCTTAAGCATCTGCCTTCGGCTCAGGTCATGATCCCAGGGTCCTAGGATTGAGCCCTACATCAGGCTCCCTGCTCAGCAGGAGGCCTGCTTCTCCCTCTCCCACTACCCCTGCTTGTGTTCCCTCTCTCGTTGTCTCTCTCTCTATCAAATAAATAAATAAATAAATAAAATCTTTAAAAAAAATCTCCTCTAAAAAAAATAAAAAATAAATAAAGTGAGTTGGGAGAGCTCTCTTCGCTTTTCTTTCTGGAAAATAGTTTGTATAAAATTGGAATTACTTTTTCCTAGTATGTTTGGCAGAACTCGCTGTTAAAAACCATTTGGTCTTTGTTTTTGTGTGTGTGGTCTGATGGGAGAGTTCAGGGAGCAGTGCCAGTAATTAAACTTTTTTTTTTAAAGTAAGTTCTTTTTTTTTCTTTTAAGATTTTATTTATTTGAGAGAGTGAGAGAGAGAGAGAGCACAAGCAGTGGGGAGGGGTAGAGGAGAGGGAGAAGCAGACTCCATGCTGAGCAGGAGCCAGATGCGGGACTGGATCCTAGCACCCCGGGATCTTGACCTGAACCGAAGGCAGACACAACCGACTGAGCCATCCAGGTGCCCCTAAACTTATTTTTTTTTCAAAGATTTTATTTATTTATTTGACAGAGAGATAGAGAGCATAAGTAGGCAGAGAGGCAGGCAGAGGGAGAGGGAGCCCAATGCGGGGCTTGATCCCGGGACCCTGGGATCATGACCTGAGCTGAAGGCAGATGCTTAACCAACTGAGCCACCCAGGCGCCCCCCTAAACTTATTTTTAATTTAAAAATTTTCACCAGTAATTAAATTTATTTCATTTACTTGTTATATGACCATTTATATTTTGTATTTCTTTTTTTAAAGATTTATTCATTTATTTGGGGCAGGTAGGGGCAGAGGGAGAGGGAAAGAGAATCTCAAGCAGATTCCATGCTAAGCATGGAGCCCAACCTGGGGCCCGATCACACAACCCTGAGATCACAACCTGAGCTGAAACCAAGAGCTGGATGCTTAACTGACTGAGCCACCCAGGCACCCCTATATTTTGTATTTGTTATTGAATCCATTTTGGTGAATTTTAGTTTTTTCCTGGAAATTAATCCATTACATCTAAGTTATTAAATATGTTGACAAAAAGTTGACCATAATATACCCTGTCATTTAAATAACTGTAGCATCTGTATCTTTGTTCCTTGTACTAATTTTTAATTTGGAATGTTTGTGCCTTCTCTCTTTGTTTTTTCCCCTAATCAATCTTTCCAAAGTTTTGTCATTTTATCTTTTTCAAGAACCAACTTATGACTTTTAATCTTCTCTACTGTATCCTGGTTTTCTATTTTAATTTTCTGCTCTTACCTTTATTATCTCCTTCCTCGTATAGTCTCAGGATTTATGTTCCTATCTCTTTTCCGTCTTTTAATTTCGTTGCTTACTTCATTAAATAGCATTTAAGGCTATAATTTTCTTTCAGGTTTTTATATGTGGCATTTTCATTATTGTTAGTTCTGTATATTTTCTAATTTCTCTTATGGTTTCTTCTTTGACTAGTGAATTATTTTTTTTTAAAGATTTCATTTATTTATTTGACAGAGAGAGAGAGAGACAGCGAGAGAGGGAACACAAGCAGGGGGAGTGGGAGAGGGAGAAGCAGCTTCCCGCGGAGCAGGGAGCCTGATGCGAGGCTCGATCCCAGGACCCTGGGATCATGACCAGAGCTGAAGGCAGATGGAATTCTGGTGCCCCAGAATAGGTAGTGTTTTGCTCAGTGAACACAGGAGCTGAGAGTGGCCCCAGGGGGCTTGTCGTGTGGATCTGCGAACCTCATCAGTGGCAGTGGGCCCCTCAGAGAGCCGTGTCCCACCCAGAGCTCTCTGTTCCTCTAGCAGCCTGAGCGGCTGCTTCTGCAGCCAGCTTCCCACCTCCTGCCCCTCCTCTCCTCAGGCTTGCAGGGGTGAGGACAGTTGTTTCCTATTAAATTAGCCATACTTAACTTTAAAAAATATATATTTTTAAATAACCCCCCAAAAGGGTGCGTAATCCCAATACATAAAACAGAAACAAAACAAAACAAAACAACCCTACCAAAGCTGCCTTGTTTGGAGAGCCCTCCAAAATGGAGGCGGAGCAAAATGAAATCCTTCCAGTTCCTCCCTTGGCCTCTGCAAGCTTGCATCACCTTCTCATTTTAAGAATTTGCCTAATAAGTGATGTGGAAAAACACTCCAAGCTAAACCCAACCGCCATGGGGACATGACCAGCATTCTAGAATTCTTACATTGCTCCTCACCCTATTTCCCTAGCACCTGTTCTCCAGCATCTTGGGAGTGTGGTTGTTGAAATCATGATCCATAGATGCTCATTCAAACACCACCACCACCACCACCCTGCCCTGGAACATATAATAAAAACTAAAACATCGATTGGGCATTCACTGTGTGCTCGAGCCCAGGCTAAGCATTTCACTTATCAGATATCTTATCAGAGTCTCTCAAAACCCCTTGAGGTGGGCGATCACGTTTGCCACACTTCATAGGGGAAGGCTGTAAACTCACGGACTACAGAGATTGTGTCTCTGTCGGCCTCTTGATCCCCGTTTTCCAGAAGAGCAGCCGACAATGTGGGTGTCAGTGGGTAGGGGGGACAGCCTAGAACATCACTGCAATTTATCAGAAGACTCCCCATCATCGCTGCTGAAAGGAAGCCTCCAATCTGGAAGTTTCCTTGAAGAGTTCCCAGTCCTGGGGAGACACAGATGGACCTTCCACGGGGTGTTGCTGGTCGCTCCCAAAGCAGCTATGAGTCCTACAGAAAATGTTGTACTTGGTCCCGGCAACTCCTTGCAGCAATGAACCCAAATGGTCAGAAAAAAATGCGATTTTTCAGGTTTTGAGAAGCAGCGCAGACCACTTTTTCTTAGACTGGGTTTTGGGCCCCTCCTTTTCGTTTCTAGAGTGGGAATAAAATATATAAAATTAGAAGGCAAAACAGAAAACTACGCACTGGGGAGAAGGAAGAAATCTTTGGGAGTTTCTGGTTGACAACATGCAAAACGAAACAAAACAAAACAAACAACCCTCTTCCTCCCTCCTGCCCTGTTTTTGTGAAGGCGCCAATCCGCGGGCAGCTCAAGGTACGCCAGGCTTCCTCCCCAGAGAGCCCAAGTTTAGGGGCAGGTCATAGTCTTGGGCTGGGTGTCTTTGCTGTGACAGGAACAGCAATGATACTTCCATCCAAGACGCTGAACAGACAAAGCAGAGAAGTTCATGAGAAACGGAGGCCCCCGCAGCTCTGACTGGGAGGTCAAGGTGGAGGGCGGCCGGCGGGGAACTGTCCAGCTTGCCTCACGGCAGCTGGTTTCCACCTGGCACACATCTGGTTTGTAGAAACGGAACTCAGTCTTGCCCAAAGGGAGGACTCTCAGGATGTAGGCAAGGAATGGAAAGGGGGGGTACATCAGAGAATTTAGGACTTTCCAGGGTGGAGAGTGTGGGAAGGAATTTGCTAAAATCAGACGCGCTGGGGGAGAAACCTTACGCACACAGAGAGTGTGGGAGAGATTTGGTAAGGAGTCAAGATTTCCCAGCCCCACGTGGGCTTTCTTCTGAGAAGAAATCAGAAGTCACAGTTCATTGGAAACAGATAGATACCGTCAGGAAATCTTGAAGTATCTGGGGAATGCAAATATCACACTATTGCTTATTATTTGTCAGAAATACATAAGCCCACACTCTCTTGAGCACCAACGTAGGAGTAGAAAATGGAATAGTCAGCATAGATTCTATCTGTATGCCAAATCTTCGAGTGGAAAAATACTACAGAAAGGACACAAAATCTGGACTCCTCAACCCACCATCACATCCCAGCTGGAAGGAGATGCCAGTGGGCAGTCTCAGGACCCTGCTGCTCCCCTGACTGAAGGGAAGGCAGAAATAATGGACAAGAGGCAGGTGGTTTTCAACCATAGAGCTTTTAGGATGGAGAAACACGGAGGGGGCCTCACATGGGGTGTTCTTAGGTGGCCTTGCCACGAGATTTCATTTCCACACACCAGCCCCTCCCATGTTTCCAAGGACATTAGGTTCTAATGAGTTTCCTTCTCTCCACAGCCCTGACACCAACCATGAATCTTAGTCAGAAATCTGTCTGCAAAGGCAGAGATTGGGAAAGGTATAAACAACGCTGACCGCAAGCCCAATTCCCCACGTAGCTCAACCCCTAAGAAAGAATCTTAAGCCAACCGGGGCACCTGGGTGGCTCATTCGGTTAAATGTCTGCCTTCAGCTCAGGTCATGATCCCAGGGTCCTGGGATCAAGCCCCGCGTCGGGCTCCCTGCTCAGCGGGAAGCCTGCTTCTCCCTCTCCCACTTCCCCTGCTTGTGTTCTCTCTCTCGCTGTGTCTCTCCCTGTCAAATAAATAAAATCTTAAAAAAAAAAAAAAAAGAATCTTAAGCCAACCTTGATGTTTCTTGAAGACAATAATCCTGTGCAGGGACAATAATCCTGTGGGTTCTGGGAACAGATGTTCCAGGTGAGGTGAGGGACATCTTGACAGCTAGATGATTTGGGGTGGGTGACCTCCACCAACACACCCGGGGACGTCCAGGCCAGCCCTGACCTCTGTTTGTCCAGCTGCCTACTGGACCTGTCCATCTGGAGGTTCTGTAGGCACATCTCCAACCCGTTTTCCTAAATAGAAACTCTTAATGTGTTTCAGCAAAACATTTTATTTCAATCTTCCACTCCCCCTTCAGTGTCAAACCACAGGCTGAGCCTCACGCTGGGCCCCACTCCTAAATATGAACTGACAAGCAAGGATCATGCACAGTTGAGGAAAGCATCTAACACAAAAGCCATGAGACTCTGTTTTAAGATTTTATTTATTTCTTTGACAGAGAGAGACACAGCGAGAGAGAGAGAACACAAGCAGGGGGAGTGGGAGAGGGAGAAGCAGCTTCCCGCTGAGCAGGGAGCCTGACATGGGGCTCGATCCCAGGACCCTGGGATCATGACCTGAGCCAAAGGCAGAGACTCAACCAACTGAGCCACCCAGGTGCCCCAAAAGCCAAGAGACTCTTAAAGAAGAGCAAGGTGGGAGGACTCCATCCCAGATACATCAAGACTAATTGTAAAGCCATAAATATAATTAGGATAATTAAGTATATATAATTAAGGTAGTGTGGATTTTGCAGAGGGATAGACCAGTAGACCAAGGAAGCTCCGAAACACCCAGGGATGGATGGATGGATGGATGGATGGATGGATGGATGGATGCTTGATGTCCAACAGAGAGGAGTACAAGGAGACACGTGAACCAATGTTCATAGCAGCACTATTTTTAATAGCCCAAACTGAGAAGCCCTCAAATGTCCATCAACATAATTGATAAGTAGTGGTATTTAACCACAATTTATTTTATCAGCACCATATCAATACTATATGATATTAAAAATGAACCAATTTCAGCTGTACACGATAAGGTGAATGACTTACAAACGTAATGTTAAATGAAAAAAAGCCAAATACAAAAGAATTCAAAGTGTGTTATTCTACTTGTATGAAGCTCAGAAATAGTCAAAACTAAACTAGGGCTTCGGGGAATATGCGCCTAAGTGGTAAAACTAAAGAAAAGCCAAGGAAGGGATTTTCAGAGAGGTCAGGGTATACTTTTCTTTGTGGGGAGAAGGGGTTTGAGTGAGAAGGCATTTGTGGTTTCTGGGGGTGCTGGCAACATGCTTTTTCTTGGCCTGGATGGTGGGTCTGTGGGTTCTTCCTTTATAATTTATATATTAAGCCATGCATTTATATTTTATTTTTAATTTTATGTTTTAGAGAGACAGCACGTGCACGTGAGAGAGAGAATCTCAAGCAGACTCCCTGCTCAGTGCAGAGCCCAATGCGGGGCTCCATCCCACGACCCTGAGATCATGACCTGAGCCAAAATCAACAGTCGGACACTTACCCAACTGAGCCACCCAGGTGCCCCTTAAGCCATACATTTATATTTTATGCCCTTTCCTGTGTGTATTCTCTGTCACAAAAAGATCTTTTGTAAACATGAAATACCAAGGGGAAAAATCTAGCAGAAGATATGAAAGTGGGGGGAGGGAGAATTGGAGGGGGTCCAAAGTTACAAAATTCCAGTTATCAGATAACTCTGCACTAGAGATGCAAGGTACAACGTGACAACCATAGTAAATACGCTGTGTGATAGGAAATTTGTTGAGAGTAGATCCTAAGAGTTCTCACCACAAGGAGAAAATTATTTTTCTTTCTTTTCTTCTTTCTTTTTTTTTCTTTTTCTTTTTTTTTAAAGATTTTATTTATTTATTTGACAGAGAGAGAGTGAGAGAGGGAACACAAGCAGGGGGAGTGGGAGAGGGAGAAGCAGGCTTCCCACGGAGCAGGGAGCCCGATGCGGGGTTCGATCCCAGGACCCCGAGATCATGACCTGAGCCAAAGGCAGACGCCTAACGACTGAGCCACCCAGGCGCCCCTCTTTTTTTTTTTTTTTAAAGATTTATTTATTTGAGAGACAGCAAGAGAGAGAGTGTGAACAAGGGGACAGAGAGGAGGAGGGGGAAGCAGACTCCCCACTGAGCGTGTAGCATGGAGCCCAATGCAGGGCTGAATGAGGGGCTCGATGCGGGACCCGATCCCAGGACCCTGAGATCATGACCTGAGCCAAAGTCAGACGCTCAACTGACTGAGCCACCCAGGCACCCCTCTTTTCTTTTTACTGTCTCTCCATGAGAAGAACATTAGCCAAACCTAGTGTGGTGATGATTCCACAATAGATATGTCAGACCATCATGCTGTACATCTTAAGTGATGTACGTCAATTACTTCTCAGTAGAAGTGGTAAAAAAGATAAGAAAGAACTTTCCAAGAAAAATTCTTTCTCGAAAGTACGTAACACATGGTGGTGATGCCTACACACAACAACTTTGAGTTTACTTGACACCACTGAACTTCACACCTAGAAATGGTTCTGATGGTAACTTTTATGTGTATTTTGCCCCAATTAAGAAAAACTCCTCAACACCCAGAGAGTGACATTAAAACCTCCCTAAATACTTGGAGAGTGACCCCATGTGGACATGTCAGAAAACTCAGTATTGCAAAGATACCCCCCAATTGTTGGTTATAGTGTAACAATCAAGTTCCCATTGTTGATTTTTTTCCCCCTTGGAACTTGACAAGCTGACTCTGGTCCAAGAGGAACGAGACAGGGAGCCTTGCTCACCACACATCAAGACTTCCTTTAATGCTCAAGTCCTAAAGGCAACATCTCAGACCCAGGGCTGGACGGAAGATCCACAGAACCGACCTGAGCGCCCAGAGACACACACGCCCAGGGGAGGCATGGGGGGGGGGGGGTGGGCCATCAGTGGGACGCTGGCTAACTGGGGAGGTCCCCCAAAAGAACGCACCTGGCAGCTTTAGTCATCAAAACCGAAAGCCAGAAACAGCCTGCTGTCCATGGGCAGGGAAGACGGATACAGCAGTTGTGGTGTATTCCCACAAAGGAAGATAGCGTCATAGCAAAATTGGATGAAGCATCACTACCCCTATGGCTGAACCTGAGAAATCGTGTTGAGCGAGGAGAGCAAGTCACAGATGACACATGGCATGGTTCCGCTGCATAAAGCTCGAGAGCAAGTAAAACTAAAAAATGTATTGTTTAGGGATGCATACCAATGTGATTTGAAAAAACGGTTAAAAATGTGAGGGAATGAGAACTGTCAAGTGAGGGGTGATGGAGAATTCTGGAAGGGAAGTGGGGTGGGGTGGGGGAGGGGCCCAAGGTAGTCACAGGGGTACTCACGAGGGATGTGCTGGTTCTCAAACTGGGTGGGGGGGCTATGGGGCTCACTTTATTGTTATGCTTTATAACTCAAGTCTATGATGCAGACACTTTTTAGTATGTATCAATTATCATGTAATAAAAATGGGAAAGGAAGAGAACGGTGCCCATTCCTAAGCCATGGAGAATACCAGTTTCTACAGACCAGGGAACGGAGAGGGTTGTGCAGAAAAAGATGAGCTGGTGCTGCCAATGAAGTAGGAGGAGAGCCAGAAACTGGGGCATCCCAGAGGCAGAGAGAACCTCCCGGAAGGACGAGGGGTCTCCTGGGTTGTAGCTTCTAAGAGCAGGGCGGGAAGAAGAGGACTGGAAAACATCCCAGATTTGGTCCCTTGGGGGTGACCCCTGGGCTTGGAGGAGTGGTTCTGGGGGAATAGTGGGGACGGACAGAAGCTACATTGTGGCTGGCTGCCGACCAACAGGAGAGATGGACCAGCGGAGACCACCAGGTGGTCGAGAGGGAAAGGCAGGACGACTGACTTCAGTCTCCACTGTGGTGTGGGCGCCCCACCCCCACTCCATCTCTTCTCTCAGGAACAGCTGGTCACAGGGGAACACGACTCCGGCTGGACATGCAATTCTGGCCACAAGGTTGTGACTCTGATCCAGCCAGAACTCCCAGGGGGAGGGGAGGGCCTGGTCTCTTATCCTTACCCTGGAAGTCCGGACCCTGTGGGGACAGAAGGAGGAGAAAACCAGAAGGTATGGATGTTGGGGTGCCTGGGAAGGGCCCTGGGGTCTGGGCCTGGCCTGTAAGGGTCTGGGTCTCTTCCACAAGCCAGGAGAAACTCTCTCTGGGTCCCATAGGTCCTCCTTCCCTATTCCCTGGGCAGGCGGGCATCAAGCAGCCCTTTCTGTGTTCTGCTGTGTGGACAGACAGACACCGGTTTGATGTCCCCAGACCCAGGTGGCTCATCATATCACAGCCACAGTGCAAGAACTGGCCTGGCTTCCTCCCAGCCGGCCACCCTCCCTTTGTTTGCTCTGGGAGGGGCAATTGCCAAGCAAACAGGGAAGGGAAATCCCGGATTCTGTCTCCTCACCGTTTCCTAGGCCCCGAGGCCTCTGGCTCCCTCCGGGCCTCGCGTGTGTGTGGAAGAGAGCTAGGGTCGCCGGTGTATAAAAAACCCAGGCCTTGGCCTCGGCGAATGCTCAGACAAAATAAACCCCAACCCAGGGGCACGAACCCCACATATCAGAGCTCTCTGACACCGCCCAGCCACCAGAGGATGTGGGCATCAGGATTTCCAGTTTCCAGAAGAGGAAACTGAGGCTCAGGGTCACGAAGAGAGGACCCTGACAGACGTGGGAATCCCACCCAGACCTCTCTGACCCTCAGCTCGGCTGTCTTCTTAGGCGAACAGTGGGGGAGTGGTGAGAGGCAGGCTTGAACAGGGGCTCTCCCCTTCACCTCTCTTTTTTCTCCCCCAGAGACTGCACCATTATCCAAGGCCCCCAACCGGGCAGTCGGAGCCCCCCCTCCCATGGCCGAGCTCCTGCCCCAGCTGCCTTGGCCCCCACTGGCCAAAGGTGGTGCCCAGGATGCATCAGTGCCCCGAGCCGAGTGGTGGAGCCAGCAGCCACAAGGTGGCGGGGCAGAGGGCCCAGCCCCTGAGCCCCGGAGGCTCCTGGAGGTGCCCTCCATTTACATCACACCATCCAGTGATGGAGAATCACCCCCTTGCACCCCGACCCCCCTGCGCCTGCAGCTGCCGAGGACCCCAGACCTGGAGAGTATATCCCAGGACAGGTCAGCCGGGTGTTGGGACACAAAAGAGGTGCTCTCTCTCTCTCTCTAGGGATTCATGCTCGAGGGGGGCTGACACTGTCCCGGTGTGGGAGCTGAAGGTCAGCTGGAGTGTGACCTTAGCCCCACATGGGACCTGACTGGAGGTTGTGAAAGAGGCACATAAACAGAAAGAGGCAACTGGGAGCATGTGCTGGGACAAGTGCCTCTGAGCTCTCCGCTCTCCGCTGAGCACTGCCTGCTAAGGGGGGAGGGGGATACCCCCTTTGGCATACCCAGTGTTTTTCAAACTGTGGATCATGACCATTTAAGGGCCATGAAACCAAGGTAGTGTGTTGCGATCAGCGCTTTTTCCAAACAGAAATAGGACAGAATTGAAAATACAGTGTATGAGGTAGTAAGTGTGGTTTCCCGCAAATTTTGTGACATTACATATATTTCTATATATTACATATATTTCTTGCACTGGAAGCCAGTGTAAAAGGTATGTCTTGCTACAACTCGTGGGGGGTGGGGGGAGAAAGAAAGAAAGAAAAGAAAAGAAAAAAGAAATGTAAACAAAACTTCTGCAAAGAAACTCCACCTCTGGCACAAGGAGACGGGAACTGAAAGTTCAAGGCTGCCTGGGGAAAGAAGAAAGAACTATACCAGCACTGAATAGAAATAGCCACTGCGGTTTCTTCTAATAATGGATGCTAGATAAGAGTTAAGGTTTCTGAAATAGAGCTCTGTGTATCAGCGTGGAGAAGTCTCAGAAACAGTGATGATGGAGAAAGCAAGTTGCAAAATGATACAGTGGGAGCCTAGTTGTGTATCTTTTAAAAGGCATTGAACAATAGGGTATATTGTTGGTGGATCCATCCTGATATTAAAAAAAAAGGATGGGAAGGTGTACAGAAGGAGCACACACCAGCTTCAGGGCGGTGGGTCCCTTGGGTGCAGGAGCAGAGAAAGGAGGGATGGGGAGTTGGGTCTTTGGCTGTGCCTGTAAAAGTTTATTTCTTTTTAAAAAGAAAGAAAAGATCTGAAACAAAAATGGCAAAATGTCCACATCTATTGGATATGGACGGTGGGGATGGCCATTTTATTTTTTATTTTTTCCTCTTTGAAATAAATATTCCCTAAATAAAATTTTAGAAGTACTTCAAAGGAAGAAACAGGCAAAGAGAAATACAGTTGACCCTTGAGCGGTGTGGGGGTCAGGAGGCACTGACCCACCGCACAGTGAAAAATCCAAGTGTAACTTTTGACTCCCCCAAAACTTAGCTACTAATAGCCTACTGTTGGCCAGAAAGCTTACCTAGAATAGAAACCATCAATAACACATATTTTGTATGTTATCTGTATTATATACTGTGTTCTTACAATAAAATAAGCTAGAAAAAAGAAAATGTTTCTAAGAAAATCATAAGGAAGGCAAAATACATGTACAGTACTGTACTGTAAAAAATCCATGTATAAATGGACCCACACAGTTCAAACCCATGTTCAAGGGTCATCTGTACAGAGAAAGAGAACAGTGAAACAGAGGGAGATGGTGGAAGGAGGGCCTCTTTAAGACCTGAGAGAACTTCTATGTAGAGGGAACCGCAAGTGCAAAGGCCCTGGGGCAGGGATGTGTCTGGTGAGTTAGAGGAACAGCAGGGAAGCTGGGTGGTCCAAGGGAATGAAAAAAGGGGAAGAAGGAGGAGGCAAAGTCAGAATGGTGACAAGGGCCACACTCGGGCCTTGGGCACCAAGTAGGTGAGGACTTTGCTTTTATCTGGAATGAGGTGGAGCCAAAGGAGGGCTCTGAGCCAGGAGGGCCCTGACCTAACTCAGGGGTTCATAGGTTCTCTCTGGCTACAGGTGGGGAGCAGACTATAGGAGGCCGGATAGGAGCAGCCAAGTGGTTGCTGTGGTGTCCAGGACAGGGGCAGTGGGAGCCAAGAGTTTACATTCTGGAGAGATTTTATGGGGTGGAGTGGACAGGGATGGCTGAGAAATTGGATGTGGCTGTGAGGGAAAGAGAGGGGCCAGGAAAGATGAAGTTTTGGGCCTGCCAGCCACCAAAATGGAGTAGAGCGGGTGGGGAGCAAGGCCCTGTGCTGGGGTGCCTCCGGCCAATAGCTGTGAGGCGGGACTCACATTTCCGTGTTTTCATGCAGGCAGCCCCTGCAGGGCGGCGCGCAGGTTACCGTGTCAGAGCAGGGCTGTGTCCAGCTCTGCAGCCTACCCCCGGCGTGACCTGGGCCAAGTCACTGCCCGTCTTTGAGGCCGGGCTTCCCCACCTGTAAAAGGGCTGCTGTCCCCCCGCCCGCCGCAGCCCCCCCCCCCCCCCGCGCTGTCCCGTGGGAAAGCCCCTTACCACAGAGTTGGTGAGATCTCCAGGACTGGGGTGACTTGCCAAGGTCACAGCACAGCTAAGAGCCAGGGAGGCTGGATTCTAACTTGGTCTGGCTAACGGGGACTGGGGCGGAGAGGGGTCCCCAGACCCCGAGGACCTCCGGGGCCAACACTGGGAGGTGTGGAAACGCACGGGAAGACGGAGGCGGCCTCCGGGCCGCACCCCTTCCCGCCAGCCGCGGTTCCCCTGTGCTCGCAGCCCCCACCCCTCCGCTTCCCAGAATCTCCATCCCACCGCCCCCCGCCAGCCCCTCCAGCTCCGTCCCACCTCTCAGGTTCCTTCCCGGCCAGGGGCAGAAGGGGAGCTGAAGACGCTTTCCGGGTACCAGGGGAGAGGGTCGTGGCCGGTGCCAAAGGCAGCTGCCATGGCGGTGTTTCGTTTGAATCGAGTCTGTTTGTCTTTCCGTCCTTCCTTCTCTGTTCACTTCTCTGCCTCCTTCGATTCTCAGTGTCTGTCTTTTCCTCTCTCGTTTCGGTGGCTCCGGCGTCCCGGCCGCCCCTCTCGGTTCCTCGGCTCGCTCGCCCTCCCCCTGCGCCCCCGGGCCTGCGTCTCTAACTCCCGCTCGCGGCGGCTCTCCCGCGGGCCGCCCCCCCCACCCCCCCGCCGCGGTGCCGGTCGGCGCCCCTCCCCCTCCCCCCGCCCGGGCCCGCGGGCCCTCCCGCTGCGCCGCCCCCTTCCCGCGCGGGCGGGGGCGGCGCCGTGACGCGACGGGGCGGGGGCGGGACGGGTGCGCTGACGCTGCGGCGGCTCCCGCGGCTCCCGGGCTCCGGCCTTTGTGCGGGCGGCGGGCGGCGGGCGGCGCGGTCGGGTGGGGGCGGCGGCCCCGGAAGGCGAGGCAGGTGCCCCGCAGGGACGCCCAGCTCAGCCCAGCCCCGCTCGGCCAGCCCTGCCCTGCGGCCGGGCGCGCCCGCCGCGCCGCATCCATGTTCGAGTAAGGACCGGGGCGGGGGCGCGGCGGGCGGGCGGGAGGACGGGGCCGGCCGGCCCGGGGCTCCGCGCGCGCTCGGCTCGGCGGTGGCGCGACCGGAGCCCAGGCGGAGGGGCGGGGGCGGCGCCGGGTGGGGGCGGGGAGGGGGCCGGCGCTGCGCTGGGGCCTGGGCGCCGACGGCGGGGGGGGGGGGGGACCCAGGCTCGTCACCGCCAGGACGAGACGCGCCGGGGTGGCGGAGCTTTGGTGGGAGTCCCGGGCTCGTCCGCGGGGAGTCGGGCCTGCGGGGAGGGCTCCGGCCTAGCTGGCCGCGGTCCGGGAGGCGAGGGGTGGGCGCGGGGCTGACCCCGGGCTTTGGGCCTGGGGTGGATGCGGGGCGCACACAAGCCCCGGCTGGCCCGCGCACAGGCCACGGAGCTCGGCGGCAGGCCCGGGAGCAGCCCCCCTTGGCCTGGGCCCCCTCCCACCGCCTCTGTCTGTGGCGAGTCCCTGCGCTGGGCTGCTGGTGGGGGCTTCGTGGCCGGCCGGCCTCGTGCCTGAAATTCCGGGTCCTGGGCCCGGAATTGAACTTCCTCTCCCTGTCTGGCCCGCTGTGTTTTCGAGTAGGAATTGTAGGTGTCTTGGAAGTGTGTGTATGCGGGTCTGCATTCCTGCTGTGCATCCTCTCTGGCTGTGTGTGTAATTTATGTCAAACTCCATCTGTGGCTCCATGTGTTACTGTAAATTCCCCGAGTATGTCTGACTGTGACACTAGTTGTGTGTGGGGGGGGGGGCTGCGTGTGGCTGTGACCTTCTGTGTTGTATGTGTGTGTAATGTATGATCGCATCCCGTCAGACCCATGCGTGTCTGGTTGTGCCTTTGGAGTGTGCGTACGTGTGTCTAGGTCCCCTGGTGTGCAGACAGCTGAGATCCCCTCTGGCTGTGTGTGTGGCTGTAGAATTTGCCTCTGATTCCATCTGTAGCTCCAGGTGTCACTGTGAGTTGCCTCTGTGTCCAGTCGTGACTTGGTGGTGTGTGTACGCAGCGTTTACATTCATCACTCTGTGTCTCTGTGCCTACGTTTACCTCTGAACACATTAGCTCTTGGTGCAAATGTAAGTGACCTGTGTGTGTCCCTATATGACGTTGTGTGTCCGGGGCCTGGGGTATATGGCTGCAACCCCCTGGGGTTGTGCCTGTCACTTCTGCTGACATCTTTGCGTGAAAGTTCCTGTGTGTAGCCGTAATCCGTATGTGACAGTTCTGGATGTGCCTGGGCTTCCGTGTGTGCAGCGGAGACCCTGGGGGCGTTGTGTGTGTGAGGGCACAAAGAGAGATCCCTTGTGGCTCTTAGTGGGCCCGGGATCCTCTTTCCCGAGGCCTGGGGTGTACCCTTGGCTGTTGGGAGCAGTAATGACTGACACTGCACTCCTGTTAGAGTTTGTAAACCATGTCGCACGCGTCATTTCCATAGCTGGCCGCTGTGTTGGTAAGCTGCGTCCGTGACCCCCTGGGTCCTTCGTGGCCATGTGAGTGGCTGGGTTCTCTGGCAGCAGCCACCGCTGACCCCTCGGTCCCCTGCCGTGTTAGAGCAGCCCTTCGCTGTGTCTTCCCCACCGGGCGGTGAACACCGGGAGAGCCGAGCTGACCCTCTGGCTTAAGTTCACCTACACGGTACCTGCGTTGGCTGAGTTCTCTGTGACCGCTCCTTTACTTGTCTGGCTCTCTCCGTAGAATGTCATTTGCTTTCACCTCTTCTCGGAGACTTTGTTGTGGCCGTTCTGTGTGAATGTCATTTATCGGGAACTTTCTGTGATTTCTGTGACCCTCTGCAGCTACCTGTGTGCATCGGGGACAGGCGTGTGTGTGTGTGTAACTTCTGGGACTTTGTGGCTGTCGCATACTTGCAATGCTGCGGCCGTGTGAATCTTTATGCTAGAACCCTGAGGCGCTGGGTGCGAGAGTGTCACCCCTGTGAGAGTTGTGCTGTGGGGCGGGGCGGCGGGGCGGCTTCTGGCAACGGTGGGAAAGTACCGTTTGCCTACACCGGCTGCGTGTGACCCACCCCACGTTTCCCTTTTATGCACACCTGCATGTGCATCTGCCCCTCTTTGACCAGAGGGAGCTCCAGGCCTGTGTAGGCCCAGGAAAACCCTGTTTTCTCCCGAGTCCCAGCAAAACCCTGTTTTCTCCCGAGTCCCTCCCCCCCCATAACGGTCCTCCAGCCACAGCGGGCTCCTCCCTTCCCTCTGCCGCAGCCTGCCTGGGAGGGCAGCCTCAGGGCCGTGCCTGCTCTCGAGCACTTCCTCTTCCTCCTACGAAAGAGCAAGATCTGGGGGCATAGGCCTGCGGCCGTGGGAAAGTAGGACAGGTAGAGGAGGGGTCTGCATTTCAGGCTAGAGAGGTGAGAAGATGAGGCAGGGGAGGAAAGTGGTCACCCCCTCCTTCAGAACCCTTCCGTAGCTCACCAGTGCCCTCAGGGGGAAGCCCAAACTCCTGACCTGGGCCAGAGGGGCCTGAGGGACCTGAAGGGGGGGGGCCTGTGCCCTCCTGTCCTTCTCCTGCCCCACTGGCCACCTCACTCCTCAGACCTGCCAGGCTCAGTCCTGTCCCTGAACTCCACACCCCTGTCCCTAAAAACAGTGTTCCCCTGCTCTTTGGCCGAGCTGCTCTTCGTCCTCGGGCTCAGCTCAAGTGTGCCCTGCACCCCACTCACCCATCCACTTAGCCCTCCTTTGTGTCCGTGGTCCTCAGACTTGAACATGCTTCCATGTCCTGGGCCCCACCCCCAGTTTCGGATTCAGGAGGCCTGCCGTGGGTCGCACAGGCCGAGCGGTGCCTGAGCTCAGCGTCTCCATTTGACACGTGTTCTTGTTGCTCATCTCGGTTCCCCAACTGGAATGTCAGGTCCCCGCAGGCCGGGATGGTATCTGTTTTGCTCACTTCTGTGTCCCCAGCGCCTGGCGCAGGGCATGTGCTTCATGCATACTTAGCGAGTGAAGGATGGAGCTTGGGGTCAGTTTGGGCTCTGCGCCCCAGGCCGAGGTGTTGCTTGGGGCCCATCAGCGTCAGCGTTTGTCTGGAGCAGAGGTGCGCTGGGGCAGTGGCAGGGCCTTGCCCTCCGTTTTAGTCCGACAGAACCTATTGATCAAACCAGAGTGCCTACCACGTGCTGGGCTTTATATGCACTTGACATTGAACAACGTGGGGTGAGGGGTGCTGACCTGCCGTGCAGTTGAAAATTGGTGTGTACTTCTTGACTCCCTCCAAACTTAGCTCCCAATTGTTTACTGTTGACCAGAAGCTTTATCGATAACATAAGCAGTCGATGAACACATTTTTTTGGTATACTATCTGTATTGTATACTGTATTCTTACGATAAAGTAATCTAGAAAAGATGGTATTAAGAAAGTCATAAAGCAAATAGCTTTACAAGACCGTACTGTATTTACTGAATAAAGTTCCCATATAAGTGGACCCGCACAGTTCAAACCTGTGCTGTTCAAGGGTCAACTGTCTATTACCTCACTTTCTCCCCGCAACAACCCTGTGAGGCGGATGCAGTTATTCCCGTCATGGGCAGGCCCCAAGGCACTGGGGGAGCGCGTGGCGGGGGTCGCTGAGGGGGGGCAAGTCTCACACCTCCTTGGATCCCGGTTCTGTGAGGGGCGGGAGAGGGGCGCTCCTTCATTCCGTCTGCACCAGCAAATGCTCCGTGCGCCAGCCTCGTCCTAGACCCTGGGGATGCAGCTGGAAACAAAGCGCCTTCGCCTGCGGAGCGCAGAGAGAGACACGACAGCAGGTCAAGTGCAGGACGTGCTGTGGAGAAAGATGAAGAGGGAGCGGGATCGAGAGGTGGGGAGTGTGGTTTAGATAGAGGTGCGAGGAAGCTGACTTGAAGAAGCATCCCCTGAGCAGAGACGGGAAGGAGGTGAGGGAGCCCTCCCGAAATGTGAGATGGAGGGCATCTGGACAGAGGGGACAGGCAAGGTAGGAGCTGGGGAAGGGTGAGCAAGGGGTTGATGAGAGGGTCCAGAGGTTCATTTAGCTGGAGTCAGGTACAGCTGGCCCAGGGAGGGGGTCCCCAACCCGACTCAGGTGTTCATAGCTGCCCCCCTGCTGGCCACAGGTGGGGAGCAGAGTGGGGGATGGGTGTCAGGGAGACCTGGGAGAAGGCAGCTGCAGCCGTCCAAGGGGCATGGCAGTGGCCCAGATCACCACCTATTTCATTTACTTACTTAGTTATTCTGTCCCACAAACTCATTGCACAGGTGTGGCGGCAGTGCGTACCCTGGGTCCTGTCCTGAGCTGTACTGGGGACAGAGCAGTGACCAGGACCTTGCCGTCGTTGGGGAGCTCACAGACCTGCGGGGGAGAGATGGGGCTGTCGTCGGACAAGTGGCCGCCGGGAAGTAGTCAGGGCTGGGATGGGGGACGCAGAGGCAGAGTGGCAGCAGAGTGGTTAGCGACAGGATGGGAGCCCAGGGCAGTCCACAGTGAGGGACTGGCGTGTGCTGAAGCTTGGAGGCAAGAGAGGGAAGTTTGAGCAGCCGATGGAGGCCCCCGAGGTGGAATCATGCCCTGGCTTCAAGCAGCTGTGCGTCCTGGGACAGGTGGTTGGCTGCTTCGCGTCCGGCTTCCTGCTCTGCCAGGCAGGGATGGTGCTACCGTCGCACGTCCAGGTTGCCCGAGGAATAAGTACTCCTACGGAGAGCTTGCCAGAGCC